AGAGAAACGGTGGTGTGGGAAGCAAATGTGCCTGCACTCTTCACCCCGGCCCTGCCATGACTGAAGGGCCACTGTGCTCCAGACCACGAAAGCAGCCATTAAGGTATTGAAGCCCGCAAGTCCCAGGAGTGAAGTAACTTGCCCTGAGGCACAGTTGGTCAGAGCAGGATGGAAATTTAAATCTAAGTTTTTCTAACTCCAAAGTTCATCATCTTGCTTCTCAAGCTTGCTTCATTTCCAAAGCAAGAGATATCAAACATCCCATTGTCCAATGGAGTAGGTAATCTGTGGGTAAATAATTAACAATATAAAAAAAGAAATGAGCTCTATTTTAAAAAATTTAACATCAAATGTGACTGGAATTACAGTTTCCAAATGACGTGACTAAAAACAGCACCCAAAGGGAATCCGGTAGATGACTGAGGGAGGCATGATTTTTTAGTGCTGATATTTTTATATCATTTTAAGGACATTCATGGAATGCAAAGCACAACACAAAGATCTTGAAACCTAGCCGTGCTACATCTTAAATATTTAACTTTTGTCTCAAGTGTAGAAAAAGTCCACCACGAAGGACTACAGGTCAGATAAAACTGACAAACTGTGCTCTCTTGATATGAGAAAAGGAGCCTTTAACCTGGCGGTGGGATCCGGGTGAACTGCAGGGGAGCTTCTGCGGTGGGAATGGGGCTAAGAGGAAATAGGCATCACCTGGCCATACAAACCTGCTCTCTATCCAGTTGAATGGGAGCATTCAGGTTTCACTCTCAAGAGGCTTTTCACAGTTACCATTTTAAGAACTTATGTTAGACTTTAGTGATTGAATATTATGAATTATTGAATCTTATGATCTTGGCCAAAATATACCGCACTAACGTTTCTGCAGAAGCTTGCAGCTATAGCATGTACTATGTCTTGGCTCAATTTCTGCAATGAGTATAAATATATTGATTAAATAGCAGTACAAAAATAAAAACAAACTAAAGGGACTACCACTCATCTTGAAAAACATAACATTTTAATGAATCCTAATAAAATTTCTATGAGAACCACCCAATTCTAATTTTGCTTTCACTGGTGCCATTTCCATCTCTACAGAGGCCGTCACTCTCCCTCCACTGGTCCAGGTCCCCCATGCTCTTCTGATCCCAGGCCAGCACCATTCTAAGAGGCCCAGCTGGACTAGCCTGTGGTTTTCTGCTTACTCATTAAAATCACATTAGCATCCACGTTTAGTTTTTACTCATTCATAGGCAGCTATATGACTTTATTCTGTTTCATACATTTGTAAATTGCAGCTTCCTCAAACATAAATTGGAAACTCACTGAAGAAAGAAAAAACTCATATATTATATATGTATTTTTTTATTCTTTTGTTTCCAAGGCATTTATTATAATACTGAGCTACAAATATGCTGAAAAAGGGTCAAGGAAAAATATTCATAAAGAAAAACAGATGAGAATAATAGATTAAAAAATTGTCTACTTCATATTTTCTTTTGATGGCTTTTATTTTCACAGAATACCACTACCAGGCCACCTGCTGTGATATCTTTTGTAAAAATTCACTAGAGTAAATCAATAAAATAGATAAAGTTCAAGTCAGGTTCTGTCCCCATAAAATGATAGGGTGGATTAGATGATCTCTAAGATTTTTTCCAAGCCCTAAACTTTGAGTAGTCTTTGCAATGTATGATCAATAAACCTATTATATTAATATACAATAAAGTACTGAAGGCAACTGTTGAGTCACACAAATATAACAAAAGTAAAGCAATAGCGTGAAAAATATATCTGAAAGTTAAAAGTATCTGAAAATACCTTAAAATATATGAAAATTAATGTTTATGAGATGACTTTATCTGTTCGTATATGATAAAATACTGTGTGTGGTTTTATAAATCTACTTACAAAATGTAATTACTTTGATTATCAAAGACACTGAACATTAAAAGTTTAGTTTGAATTATATGAGTAAATAACATCAACCTTTGACTTAAAATAGCACTTAGCAACAAAAGATGATTTGACACAGTTGGTTGTACCAATACCATCCATAAAAGACAAGCTAAGAGTCAAGATGCTACACGTACTTTCATAGTGCAGAGCGAGTGCTCCCGCCAGCTCTTCACCACACAGGCATTCCACACCAGCCAAGGGGCATGACTTTTCTGTGAAGGAAGCTAAGCCATAGAGAAAAGTGTAGAAAGGTGATGTGTTGTCTTCAACATCTCAAGAGGCCAGCATTCAAGGCAGCATGAGTAACTCTGTTTGGTATACATGGAGGGTTCCTGGTGAAAGAGGGAGGCATGAGGTGAGCACAGTACAGACTGTGAAGGGCCTTGTGTCCATGCAAAGGAAGCTCAAGTCTGTAAGATACTGGGGACCAATGAAGAGTTTTAAAAATGGAGAAAATGAGGTAAGATTTGGGTTTCACACAGACTGCTACAGGCAAGAAAGGAGAAAAGACAGTCATGAAGCTGGTGCAACAGTCAATGCCAGACTCTCAAACTTTGTTTTCTTGGAGGCCCATTTGTTTCTACTTTCCAATGGAAAGAGAATTCAGTGACAAATCAATGAATAACAGAATGAATTTTGGAGTGGGATCATATATGTGTACGTGTGTGTATTTTTGCTTTAACAATAGGGGCATGGATGACATATATTGAACCATATTATAAGCATGTCTTAAAGTCTAGGTATTTAAAAATTAATAAGACTAATGATACAGATATGAATTATTATAAACCATAAGGTTAAACAAGCAACCTATAATAAACCATATTAATAATGATTAATCCAAATAAATTTATCACAAGAGCAAGCACAGCGGTAACAGAATGTCATGACCAACTGAACACAGCCAGTCACAAGTTATCTTTCCCCTCAAATCTTTTTTTCCCTAGTTACTTGAGTGTGAGTACACAAAACAGAAATCTTGTAATATTGCCAACACATGGAAGTCAAACTTAAGAAAAACTGAATTAAAATATTTGGAAAACTCTAGTCATATACTAATTTTAGCACAATTTCAAATTTTGTAATCCTTAATAATTCACATAGTTTTAGGCAAACATGCAAATCTACAGAATGTGACATCATTTCCTGATAGCAGCTAACCTTCATTGAGCACATACTACGGGTCAGGCAGTTTTTGAAGTGTTACGCACACATTTATCTCATTTCATCATTATACATTTATGAGAGACACTAAGAATATCTCCACTTTACAGATGAGGAAACAGTCACAGAGAGTCACACAGATAAGCAAGCAGAAAAACCAAGATTCAAACCCAAGTATTCTGACTACCGATTTCACACCTTTAGCCACTAGGCAATATTGCCTCTAGAACTTGAAGTTTTAGATTCATTCTAGGCTCATCAGGAGGATCTGCACAACTCACTAGCGCACTGAAGACCGTATTCTGTGAATCATTTGTAACTACAGTGAGAGCTCAAATATTGCAATGACATTGGGGGTGGGGAGTGAAGGTCACAGGTGGATTCTGGAGAAAGTAAGAAAGAGAAGTCACCAAGACTTGATGACTGGTTGTATGTGTGGGGTGAGGAAGAGGTAAGGAGGGAGAGGAGTCTAGAATGACTCTGCATAAAAAGGAACTTTGGAAGAAAGCAGGAACTACAGTAGAAAAGCAAGTTTTTGGCCTGCGATGGAGTTCAGGTTTGATCCATAGGCTTCAGGATGCTTATGAGACATTCAGGTGGAGAAGGCAGGTAGGCAGCTTGACAAAGGAGCAGGAAATGAGTGAGGTGGCGTGAAGAGAGCTGTCCCTGTACCTGAAATGCTGATCCATTGCTACCTCCGTTGAAATCATTCCTACTTAAGAAAGTTACTGGGAGGAGGGACAGATGTGTGTGGGGAGGGAGGGAGTGGTTAACATAAAGTGAAAACCATTTCCCTGGCACGCTGGGGTGTGAAATCGGGGACAATAAAAAGTGGAATCAAAGAAAACCACAAAGCACAAATGCTTACGCTTTTCTCCTGACATGGTACTAACCAGGGTCTCGTTTTACAGTCTCTTTGTACAGACTCTATGCTTGCTAATGCACCGTAAGCTTCATAAGGACCTCTACCTTATTGATTTTGTAGTTTTTGAAGAACCTAGCACAATGTAAAAATGCTTGTCAAGTTATTAAGTCAGGGATTCTCACCTGTAGGAGAAGTTAAGGAATTCTTTCAAAGATGCAGTTAGTCCTTTTAGACCTAAGTTTCAAGCATTGTTGGCTGGCTCAGCGTAAGACATCCTCATTAATAGAATAACACGCTAGCTTTATCCCAAGAAGCTAAATGGAGGGCAACAGGAGCAGTGAGGGAACAGAACAAACACAAGAATGGAGAACACTTGCATGTGTGTTTGGAACCAGTTATTTATTAGTCATGCCAGCCTAGTCTGATCAGAGGAATCCCTCAGACAAAAGAATATTTTGGTTTGAGGTTTGTTAGAATTTAGAGTGGTTAATTTCCTCCTTAACTTTAAGTAGCTAGAAAGACAGAAATAATGAAGCTACCAATAAAATAGAGGGTTTTTAAAATTTTTTACAACTAAGAACTTTTTTTAATTGCTAAAATTTAAAATATTTCTGTTCTTTTAAAAACATTTTGTAATTTACTCTATAAAACAAAATTAATTAAGATGGGATGTTTTTAAAAAAACGTACTTCAGCTAAACACATGGCCAAAATTAGAGGGATTTAGGCCTGGCTCTGTTTTCCAAATTAAAATGTAAAAAATGAAGATTCCATTAGACGACACTATCAAAATAATTTATTAATGATAATAACTGTTCACTTATATGAAGCATGCCCTTTGAGGCTTACTCGTGAATAATTGGCTTTCAGTGTAAAGCTGTAGGGGTGGTTAATCAATTCACCTAGCTGATATTTAGCTTTCAAACACCTAAAAGGACATGAAAATGCAGCCTTAAGGTAGGAATTCAGGCTAAGTAATTAAAAAAAGCAACAATAAAGCATCAAATCCTCACGACACAGCACTTCCAGTGGATGACCTGTTACATCACACCATCCAACTGGGTCAATATCAGGGCTGTTGGCATCCATCCAGTAATCATATCTGTGCTCCCAGCCATCAAAATGAACCTGTTGAATGATTAGTATTTAGTAATTAGTATTTCACTGTCTCTGTATCAAAATATTGGAAAACAGATTTCTAAAATTGAGACTGGAATTTTACTAATTGCATATTACAGCTGAAACAATATTTAAAATGTGTTATCAAACAGCCTTCTAATCTAGCCACCAAAGGCTATTGTACCAATTTTCCCAAGAAATTAAAGAAGTTGGTAAATAAAACAATCTGGCAGGGAATGATGAGATTTGGAAGGGATAAGACCAATCCATTTTTCCAACTAAGAAATACTGTGACATTGTTGAGAGGGTATTTCCTGTCCCGGGAGCCACTGTAGTAATCATGTCAGCATCATAAGAGTCACCAATTTGACATCAATACAAGCCTTATACTGATGTGAAATGCATGAGTTAGAGTAAAAGGAAGGAATACATTTCAAAATCCTGACAAATGTGGGGAGATGGAGCCACTGGAACAATGGAGGCAAAGAGAGCAGACACACTGTGTTACTGAGGCAGACGGATCAACAGCTTCTCACTAGCCATTAAAGGACACAGTGTGCGCTGTTAGGAGACCTGAGGAAGAGGGATGGGCCGGGGCCAGCAGTCCTACGGATTCTCACTGTTCTGCATTTTACCTAAAACACACACACACATGACACATATATACATATAGTTCTGAGAAACGTTAAAATAAAGCCCAAGTTCTGAAACAAAGATCAAATACTTATTTCTGAAACTTATCAAACTCATGTTCTAGAAGATTCTTATCAGGATGAATGAATCAAATTTATTTGTGCAGACAAAAAAATAAGAATGATAATGTTTCACTATTATATAACCTACTTTCTGTTTCTAACCATCAATTCAATGAATAATCTATCCTTTTAAATTTTAAACTCATAATTTTTTAAAAATCATACTTTGAATAAAAAGAACAAAATGTCTAGCCTTATAGAAAACCAACTGAAATATAAGTTTATTATGCAGGGCATAGGACACACACAAAAAAAGCAAAATTGTATGTATTAAGTTCCAAATAAAGTCTCAATATTTTTTCTCAAGGTCCATCTTTCTAAGCAAGTGGTTCTCAAAGTGTGGTTCCCAGACCTGCAGCATCAGAAACGCTGCACATTCTTGGGCCCCAACTCAATCCTACTGAATCAGAAATGCTCAAGGGTGGGACCTTACAATCTGTGTGTGAACAAGTCCTCCAGATGAATATGATACATGCTAAAGTTTGAGAACCATGATCTTAGGAATAACTTTCAAAAGACTATTTCTACCAGATTTACGCATTTGGACACAACAGAGTGCCCTTTCACTGTAATAACTATAAAATTAGAAAAAATATATGAAGTGACTGCTTTTAGACACTGGACAACAGGCAGAACAGAAGGGTAATCCCTAAGTACACCCAGATGAGCCCTGAATGTCAGCCTGTAGACAATTTCCTGATAGTGGCAGAGGGAGGAGAAACTTAAAGCCATCATGCTGTGCTGAGGAGACACAGGTTGCAGTTCAGAGCTGATGAAGCAGCTGGGAATTGGAGGACAAAGTACTGGAGAAGATAGAGCTACAAAGGAAGGGGTGCCAGAAGTCTATGGGGGTTATTCGCAAAACGTGCTCAAGGGCTGGACTGCACGTGTGTAAGGTGAGACTTGGTGAAGCCAAGCAGAGGGCAGCTGATAGACGGCTGAGAGTGAAATGAAGACACTGGAGGTCACACATTACTGGGCGAAGAGAGTGCAGAGATCTCAATAATACCTTGACAATTTGACTGCAACACCAAGAAGGCCACAATTTTGGAGTAAGAACCATGCCCCAGAGTAAAGGCTACTCTAGACCAGCCCTAAAAAAGGCTAAAATCAAGTTTCAACAAGATTAAGAAGCACCACCAGTAATTAAATGCCTGACAAAACAAACTCTACCCTTTCTAAAGGAAGACAAATACTCCCAACTCTCTACACGATACACTTCTTAATGTCCAACACAGAAGAAAAATTTATTAGATATGAAAATAAGCAGGTAAATGTGAGCCATACTCAATTTTTTAAAAAGCAGTCAATAGAAAGAGGCCCTGAGATGACTCAGATGTTGTAATTAGCAGACAAGAACTTTAAAGTCGCTATTAAAATATGGTAAAGGACATAAAAAAAATGGTCTTGATGAGTGAACAGATAGGGAATCTCAGCAGTGAAGTGGAAATAATAAAAGAGAAACAAATGGAAGTTCTAGAACTGGGAAGTAAAATATCTGAAATTAAAAAAAGTTTCTGAATGGGCTTAATAACAGATTAGAAATGGCAGGAAAATGGGTGAATGAACATGAAAACAGATTCACAGAAATTATTAATCTAAAGTATGTACAATAAAAGATTTAAAAAATGAACAGAGCCTCAGGTACTTGTGAGATAATATCAACTCATATTGTCTAATATACATGCATTTGGAGTCCAGAAGTAAAGGAGAGAATGAAGCAGGAATAGTGGTCAAACAAAACAAAAGTGGAACGAATAATGTCAAAAAAATCTTTCTATTTTGGCCAAAAATGCCAATTTGTAAGCTTAAGAAGAACATTAAGATGCAAGTATAATACACACACACACACACACACACACACACACACACAAAAATCAAAACTAGGCAAATCATGGTGAAACTACTGAAAACGAAAGACAAAGGGAAAAATCTTGAAAGCAGCCAGAGAAATACAAGACATTACATATAGAGGAACCAAGATAGTAATGTTGGCCAACTTCCCATCAGAAATAGTGGAGGCAAGAAGAGAATAAAGTGAAATGGTTAAAGTACTTAGAGAAAAGAAACCTGTCAACTTAGGATTTTATATCTCACAAAAATATCCTTCAGAAAGGAGCAAAATAAAGGAATTTTCAGAAAAACAAAAACTAAGAAAGCAATCACCTATAGATTTGTACTAAGAAATATTACAGGAAGTATTTCAGGCTGAATGTAAGTATTACCAGATAGAACAACAACAATTTTGGAAAAAAAATGAGGAAACTTGTAGGACCTATTCTATCTGATTTCTACAAATACTATAAAGTCACAGATATTAAGGCAGTGTTGTTTTGGCTTAAGATGCAAATATATTATTGGAACAGGGTAGTGTACATTAATTGACACACAAATATATGGTGAACTGATTTTCAACACATACGACAAAGGCATTCAATGCAGAAAGGGCCATCTTTTCAACAGACAGTGCTGGGTCAGCTGGATATCCACACGTAAAGAATGAGCCTGCTGCCCTCTAACTCACAGCCCACATACGGATTAATTTGAAATGGACCACAGACCCAAACATACAAGCTAAAACTATCAAACTCAGGAAGAAAACTTAAGAAAAAAATCTTCATAATATTGAGATATTCAAGTATTTCTTAACATACAGAGAGTACTACTCATAAAAAATAAACTGATAAATTCAATTTTCATCATAATCAAAAACTTCCATTGTTCAAAATCATCATAATAAACAGGAAAAGGAAATGCTTAAGTCCTTATCTCTGCTTCAGTGGCCCAGGGTTCACAGGTTCTGATCCCAGGCTCTGACCTATGCACCGCTTATCAAGCCGTGCTGTGACAGTGTCCCATATGAAGTAGAGGAAGATGGGCACGGATGTTAGCCCAGGGCCAATCTTCCTCAGCAAAATGAGGATTGGCAACAGATGTTAGCCCAGGGCTAATCTTCCTCAAAATAAATAAATAAATAAATAAACAGGAAAAGCAAGCCACATTTATAATACATTTATCTGACAGAAGACTTGACAAACAATTCAATAAATAACGGGCAAAAGACTTGACAGACTCTTGAACAAAAGAAGTTTCCTGATGGCAATACGCAAATAAAAAACTTCTCAACATCACTATTCACCAGATAAACCAAAATGAGAAACTACTAAACACCCACTCAAATGACTTAAATTAAGTGACTGGACAACAGTAATTATTGGTGAGGCTGTGGAGCTTCTAGAACATTGATACGATGTCAGTGGCAACAATCACTTTGGGAAATGTTTTGCTACTTTCTTACAAATGTACACATGCCTGGTCTGTGACCCCCAGCAAGACCCCCAACAGGAGTGGAAAATACAAAGCTGTGGAAGCAAGTGTTCCTGCATGTTCATTCACGGTGGCCAAAACCTGAAAACACCCCACATGCCCAACAACAAGAGGATGTCCATTCACAAACAAGTGTGGTATATGCATAAAATGAATACTAGTCGCCAACAAAAAGCAATGTGTTTATACACACATGAACAGGCATCAGCCAAGCAGACATCACGTTGAGCAAAAGAGGGCAGACACAAAAGAACCCATTTATGTAAAGTTTGACAACAGGCAGAGAAACCAGGCCCAGAGTTGTCTGGCAGGGGTGGGGGGCAGGAGCACAAAGGAACCTTCCATGGTTTTGAAAATATTCCAGATCTTGATTGGGGTGATGGTTATACAGAACACACATTTTTCAAAACTCTTCAAAATGCACACATAAAATCTGTGCATTTTATCATTTGTAAATTATATCTCACTAAAGTGAACTTATTTAAAATATTTCTGCACTCAGCAGCTGTCCTATGATACTATTCTGGTCTTTTACTATATTTTGTTTATTGTGATGTGTCAGCACTCAAGACATTGCCAAACTGCACGATACTGTCAGCACCAGACAACTAAGTATTCCAGGTGGGAAAGCAAGACTGGCATTCCTTTCCAGACTGAGGCCTGCCGCCCTGGATTTATCAACAGAAAGAAGTTGATGTAAGTGTGTATAAATGGGTGAAGAGGAAATAGAAAAGTTTCTCAAACTTTAATATTTCAACCAACCTAATTTCAATGTCTTCCTCTTTGGAGCCTGTGGTGCGAACGTTTATGTTTCAAAAGCACAAAACAAGACAAGCCAAACACTCCAGCAAGATCCTGCTTCAAGCAGTAAGGCCTTTCTATTTCAGCCACCGTACCCGCACCTGGGAATCCTACTGTGGAATTTAA